TATATTTTGGAGATCAGACCTTTGTCTGTTGCGGGGTTGGTGAAGATCTTCTCCCAGTCAGTAGGTTGCCTTTTTGTCTTAGTGACAGTGTCCTTTGCTTTACAGAAGCTTCTCAGCTTTAGTAGGTCCCATTTATTCAATGTTGTCCTTAGTGTCTGTGCTGCTGGGGTTATACTTAAGAAGCGATCTCCTGTGCCCATCTGTTGATTCTTCTTTTATGCTGGAAAATACTAGAAAGAAATAGTGCCCTGCTGATTCCCACTTCTTGGGAAAATCCTCCAGTTTCCAGCATTTAGTCCCTGCACCCGCATTTTCCCACTTTCCTTTCCCCATTCTATTGTGGTGGCTCTGAAGTTTGAAAGAGGAAGAAATGAAATTTAGACAATTTATTAGGTGTCTTTTCATTTAGCAGCGCCTAAGGTAGCCAGTCCGTGGGTGATCGGCTTTGGGGATGTGGCAAGGCAGCCTACCGTGGCAGCCCACTGTGGCAGGGCTACTGCAGTGAAACAGGGCTTCTCACCTCAGACCCGAGGAGTAAATGAGAACAAAAGAAAAGGGTCCCAAGGTTCCCTTCTGTGGCATGGCCCTTGACTACCCATAGACCTCTAGCTAACCCCACTTCTTCAAGATTCTGCCATTTCCATTATGGCTGTGCTGATGGCCGAGCCTTTAAACTCACAGAGGGATGGTGGAGAGTGGGTGGGGACTTAAGTCCAAACTCTGGTAGGGAATCTAAATAATTTGCCAAGACCCCAGAACTAGGAAATAAGCAGAGAAGGCACTTAAGTCTAACTCAAAAATCCAGTATTCATAACTTCCTACCATCCTCCCTCTTTAATTTTTTTCCCTATCAAACTCCGTTGGAGTCAGAGGCCTAAATCCGCCCCTACTTATCTACTGTTAAATGCCTCCAGGCTGCAGAGTTCCTCCCAAAGTCCAACTTTCCTGCCAATGTCCTCATCAGCCCTGGCCAGGAAGCGGAACACAGGGCAAGACCTGGGTCTTGGGCTAGCGCCTGCTCTGTGAAATCCCCTGAGACCTCCTGCAGCGGAGTGAGCCTTCCTCAGGAAACTCAGGGGCCACAGGACTGAATCTGACCTCTCCCCATGTGTTAGAGGATAATATTTCTTTACAATAAAAATCATGGTTCTCATAGAATTGTAAAATGAACCCAGTAACTCATTAACGAATCGGGGGAACAGTAGATGTTATAGTTCCTTCAAAACAACAGGTCTTGTGGAACAAAGAACATTGAGGTGATTTGTATATGGGCTTTACTACTTGGGAAAGAGCAGAATTGTTGACTGGTTTATAGACATGAATTACTGACACTTCTGTGATAATTTACAGCGCTATAAAACAACTCAAAGGCAATAGCAGCTAGCGCTCCTATAGGATCAGACTATCTGGGAGGGTTCCAACAGCCATTAAAAGGCTATTTGGTAATCATCTTTACTCATCCCGAACTCTTAAACTCTTCCTTGCAAATGAGTGGTTTCCCATGGGGTATCTCTGCTAGTTTCTCCCTCCCAGAAATCCTTAGGAAGTATTTGACTGTAGGCTTTCAGGATAAACAAACCTTGAACTGAGAATCTCCATTCAGTGTTGCTAATGTATGGCTTTCACGAAGGACACCTGGCTAAATGTCCCTCTTGCTGAACTGTAGGAACTGAAGTGTCTGGTACACGGTAATAACAGAAGCAAACACTTCGATTTTTCACTCTGTCCAAGTCCCACTTCCTACTGTAATGTATTTACACATCACCATCTCCATTCTACATGTGTGAGAACTGAGGTCTCCGGCGCTCCTACACTAGACCAGGGTCCTGCTTTTTGGAGCTGGGGTGTAATTTGGGGCAGTTACTGCTTACTGTGCACAGTGCTGGCCGGCCTTTGCAGCGCGAACTGGCTTGGCTCTTCGTACTGAGGCACCAGCTATGAGGCTGGTGGTCCCTCTCTCATCCACTCGATCGCTGTACCCAGTTGGCACTGGATTGGGACATAGGTGCCTGGCTCATTGATTTTCCTATGTTTGCTGGGTAAGACTTCAGGGTCTGTTTTTTTTTTTTTTTGGTTGGTTGGTTGGTTTGTTTTTGTTTTGTTTTTCATGTGCATGTCTATTTGTAAGTTTTATTGAAATATACTTACAGAAAAACGTACCATTCAGTGAATTTCCACAAAGTGAATATAAATACACACAAGAGCACTCAGATCAAAACACAGAATGCTGCTAGCACCCCAAGACCACCTCACACGGAATCTAGTCCTCAACTCCAGAGTAACCATTCCCCAGGCCTCTAACGGTATAGCCTATGTTGATATAAAGGCAATCATGGTCTACAGTGTGTGTGTTTGTGTTTGTGCGTGTGTGTGTGTGCGTGCGTGTGTGTGTGTGTGTTCATCCATCAATGTTCTGTTGGTGATATTTATCCACATTGTTGAAGGTAGTTGGTTTGTTTGTTCCCGTTGATTTATAAAGACACAATTTATCTTTTATGGAGCGGGCAGACATTTGAAAAGGTTCTACTTTGTGGTTACAGTACATACTTTCTGGCCCACAGGGTCCCATATTTTTGTAGAATCTGCTTTTTTAATTTTTAAAAAAAGTTATTGAGTTATTTAGCAAGACATTTTCTTGACTCGGGCTTAACAGATGGGTCTACCTCGCTTCTTCATTGCCACAACCAACAGCTTTTCTTCTGTGTTTTTCCCTTGTTAGGGTCATGTATGCCAAACCATTTGCAGGCCTCTAATACGTGCTGAGCAAGGTCCAAAGACCTGTTAGAGCGCTAACGTTTATGAGGTCAACTCTTTGTATCCATCTGCATCCAGGGCGCAGAGAGCAGTATCAGCTTCCTGGGGCAGACTCACAGGCTCAGGGGAACATGGGAACTCAGCGGTTGACCCCGTAACTCATTTCCCTTCAGACTGGGTTTTCCCACTGTGGCGGCGATGCCTCTGTTTTTCTCTTCTGTCTCCCGACTGACAAGCATCTCTATTCGGCTTCCCTCCCGCTTTGTCTGCTCCTAAGATGGATAAAAGTGGCTTCTCTCCTAGCCTGTGTCATTTCTCGCCTCGCGCACCTCCCAGCCTCATCCCTTTTCTGCTCTGACCACACAGGGCTGGATTTGGTCCATCTGTTTTTCCCGTGTTGCGGATTCGGTCTGTCTTTCTGAGATGTTGGGATGGTCGCTGCTTCTGTTTCCTTTTCCTTCCCCACAGGTCCCCTGAGTCATTTCCTTACCTGAAATCTCTCTTCCCAGATGGGCAGCCCCCCTGCTCCCAGAGTGCCTGCTCTGACTTTCCATCAGGAAGGGTGAAGCACAGATCTCTAGATGGACAGGGTTAGGTCAAAGCTTTATACATTGGCTTGGTAAAATATGAGGCATAAATAAAAACTAGATGGTTCTAGCTGTGAGAGCCAACTAGAACAAAGAATGCGAGTTAGATGACTAAGTGGAGCCAAACACAGGAAGAGCTGGTCTTCAGATTTGGGGCTGAGCTTCCTTATAATAAAAGAAATGAAAAGAATCATAGATTATAGTGCTGTTGTTATTAAAATAGACTAAAATTTTAAAATTATAATATATTTGAGAGAATGTCTTATTCATTGTTATTTCTCCTAAACACCCAGCATAATGTGGTCTATAATATTTTAAGGCTAAATTAATAAATTGCTATTGTCCCTGGATCCTATGTATTGAATATTCACTAGACAGCAGGTGGTTTCCAGGGTGTCACAGCTCCAGCGGGTGGACCCTATGGTTCTCCTACACTCAAATATAGAAAGCAAAGCTCAGAGGGTAATTTTCTGGAAGTCACCAGAAGTCATAGCTCTCAGGGGATAGTTCCTGACTTAAATTCAGGTGAATCAACAGAGCCAAACCCTAAGGAATCTGAAATGACAAAATAAATTGGTATTAAGGGTGTTTCCATTTGCCAGACAGTAATACCAACATGAGGGGAGAGACTGCTGGAAGCTTGGGCAGGCTGCATCCCCCTCTGCTGGAAGCTGCTGGACGTCAAAGCTAACAAACCTTTGCTATGCCTGCCCCTGCTGACTGGTTGGAGCACTGCTGCTCTCTCTCGCAGCCTGCCAGCACATTCTTGGATGAAAGTATGGCTGAGTGACACTGGGAGAGCTCCCAGGCCCTGCGTCTGTTTTGTAGGGAGTGGTGTATTGCCTACATTCCAAACTGGAACCTATGCGCCAATAAATAATAAAGTCTTAGCATAGACTCTGTGAGGTTCGCTGCTGTCCTGGCCATTTTACACTCAGTGCAGGATCAAGGCAGAAAATAGGGGAACTAAGGGTTATTTTAAAGGAACTGGAACAAGGTTCGGGAGACATGGGTTCCAGACCCAACAGGGTCACATCTTCAAATGAGAAATCCAGTTTAAAAACGCAAGAGTGTTGACCAGCAGAATCTGGAGATGGTCCGTGTGTGAGGAGTTATGTGTGGGTAGGAAGAGGGGTGCTATGGTCAGGAACAAACAATGACTGTAGGGGTGAAAGGGGTGCTTCATGAAATGCAGGTAATAACTTCCTAAGTTAAACTGAGCATCTACCTGAAAGTGTACGTATTCCAATTCATTACCGAGTTCGGATTAGCAAGAAGTCAGCTCCAGAGCTGATCCGAGAGACGAAAGAGAGTGCAGCTAGCATTATTTCAGGACGCCAGTGCCACGTACAGAATGGCAACTTCCAGCAGCCATTTCCCGACAGGAGAAGACGTTCTGAACCTAATCATTTTCTACTCGGAAAATAATCTCAAAGAAAGCCTCGTGTGAGGGAGGTGACCAACGCGCTTGAGAGAAGGCATAATTTCCATAAGTCGACACAGATAACACATGCATACACGGATTTTATTGGTAACACACATTCTAGTTCTTTGAGAACGGACAACAGTAGAATCTGTGGTACATGCAAGGGTAACAAACACTTAACAATATACAATATTTTGAAGAGATAATAGGATTTTCAAATATGTGTTCATCAGCCTACTGGGAAACCAATGCACAGGTACTCCTTAGTCCAACCGGTAGAAACATATGGTGTTTGTTCAAAGAGGGTAAGTTCAAGAGTTAGCCAGATATCGAGCAAGCGCTTCTCCTCCTTCTGTCCTCTCCATGTTCCTGCCCCCGACTCCTGGTTTTCTTTCCAAACATATTCTTATGTCCACATTATCTAGATATAACTCTCTCAGCTTCCCGTTTCACTATAAAAATATAGGCTCAGATGCACGCTTACATGTGAAGTAAAAGCAGATATTCCAGGAGAATTACGTGAGTGAACACTACCAGTCTGAAGTCTCTTCAATTACACAGCTCCGGAGACAGCAGGAATTACCAATAGACTAACATAATTATTATAATTATGACAATAGATCATTCTATTATAACTATAATATTCTGACATGATTAGCAATAGAATTGTCAAGTGAATTAGCTTGATATGCGGACCCTCACCTTGCTCGTAAGAGTCAAAATGACTTGGATGATTATCTAGACCTGCAAACAGACAGATTTGGGTAGACAGTTACACACTATCTCTCTTTAATCTATATAACGTCAAGCTCAAATATGTCCTTCCTGACAAGGTTCGTCCTTGAATTTTTTTTTAGACTGTCTCTGTGTCTATGTGTTTATGTCGAGCTCATCTTGACAGTGAATAAGGAAAGCCAGGTTAGGAATGGAGAAAGGATAGAGGTGTAGAGCAAAAGAGAGTTCATGCTTTCAAGGCACCTATACGTATTTTACACTCGTCTGCGGCCTTGTTGCTAAACAGTAAAACAGACAGAATCTTCATGCAGGGCATGATGGCTGTCAACTCGAGGGACGTGTCATATTTGTAAGTGAGCTTTAATGTTCAGTTTTTAAGTTACCGAATACTATTACATATATTTGGAGCGACTTTGGAACCCGAAGTGATGGACAGAAAATGAATCACTTGTGTGGCGCCCAGCGAGCTGACTCCACGGTGTCCACTTGACCCATGGCTACAGTGATTCGGTGAGCCGGTCGTTGGTTAGATCTCTAGGAGAGCTATTAAATCTGAGGTAGGATGAAAAAATGATTTGCAAGGGCTTAACCTTTGCTCTTTGGAAAAATGGGGTCACAGGGTGAGGAGGTAAGAAGGTACGTCAAATAGAGAGATGATTCTTCAGAAGTCGAGGTCCCCTGGGATGCTGCATTAGATGTAGACACAGAGGGCTTTCTTTCCCCCAAACTAAAGTAAGAAAACGAACTAAGCGATAGTGCAAGCATAAAAAAAAAAAAAGAAAGAAAATAAAACTTATTTATTTGAAGCGCACCGTGTGATTTTTCTCCCTGATTTTAATCAGGCTAGTACTACTTAGGTCTGTTTACCCGAGTCTATACCTACTACAGCAAAACTACATATCTGGGGACATGAATGGGGAGTAGGAAAAGGTGCCCTCAAGTTTAACTTCTGCCCCAAGCAGCTTACATGTGGGCTCATCAGAAGCAACTGGGCTTAGCTTGTGGGAAGAGTCTGGGGTGCCGTTCCCTACCCACTCTCACCACGCGCACACGAACACGCCTTGATTCCTTATTCACAGTAGTGGGTCTGCCTGGTCCTTATAGCGACTTCTGGCAGAGGCTTTAGATGTGCTGGTGACAGCAGCGAGACCAGGCAGGGTTAACTGACAGGGTTAACTGCCTGTCTTTCCCAAGGTCTATTTTGTAGGCTCTGTCCTTTAAGGCTTCAGTCTCTCTCCTTTTCTTTGCATCCTGGCTTTCTGGATGGTGGCCATCTTGCTGACAAACCACAAACTCTTCAGGCCGTCACAAGTTCATCGCGAGGTTGACAGAGTATGCTCCAGAGGAGACACACCCCACACTGCTTTACTGCTTGATGTTCTTGTCTGAATTCCTTGGAGTGAAAATTATTTCCACAAGGTGTCTGTCCTCATTGGGGTGCAAGGACAAGTCATTCTTTTTGGGCATGTTTTCAATACATCGTTTTTGCAATGTCTTCACATGGAATCTCTTCAAAAGTGTAACCAGGGCGACTTTCATCATCACCATGGCGATGTACTTCCCAGCACAGCTGCGGGGCCCAAAGCCAAACGGCTGAAAATACCTGAAGGGAACCTATGAAAATGAGCAGATGGTTAGGCAGGGTCACGCAACCGTCTTTCTTTGATTTGCTCTGAAAACGCGTGTCAGTCAGAATGCCTTGCTGGCCTCTAAGCCCTACTGCTTCCTCCCTGAGACACACAGCTGGGGCTAAAGAAGCAACCCTTCTCATCCCTGTGCCCCTCTTGAGACCCAGATCGGCTGTACTGGCCTCAGATGGTCCCTGGTTTTGCTTTACATGTCAATAAGCTGGGGGAAGGGAAGGGCAAATCACCATATGGGCGACATTAGCTATTCAGAAGCTCTGCCTTCCGAGTGCTTTGCAAGTTACTAAGACAAAGTTTGTTTTTGTGTGACCTCATCTAATGGACAAAATGATGATAAAAGACATGGATTTCCAGACTATCAGTGTCAAGCTTCTTGTGAGAGATCTCAGAGGTATCTCTGTGGCCTGGGATGACTCCAGAGTTCTGGTCCTCTCGCCTCTACCTCAGAGCGCTACGATTACAGGAGTTTGCCACTACACCGGGTCTCCTAACGACTTTTCGTTACCGTGAAAATTAATGTGAATCATGTCTATCTGTCTTGTCCAGTCTGGATTTACATGACTTCACTTACTAGGATTAAAAAAATAAATAAAATCTGTTGGCCAGTTGACAAGGCATTATCTGGGTTGCCTGTCCAGAAACATTAACTAGAGTGCTGGATCAACACTGAGTCCCTGTCTTACATGCAAGCAGGAAAAAAAGGAGACGTGGAAAGCTATTTGGAAAATTCTGCCTTAAAAATATTGTTTTCATGTAATGGAAGCAAAAATCTCTCCTATTTATACCAGCCATATTAAGAAGGCAACTGATTTTTTTTTTTAACCATTGAGTTTTATTTGTAGTAAGATCCACTGTTTGAGGCCATTTGATAGAATAAAGGCAGTGATAAAACTAAATCTTATTTGATTTCTGTGTAAAGCAGAAATGTATTTCCTTTGCTTAGCTGGTGGTAAGTTGAATCTAGATGATGAGAAAGTGATGCATTTATTGGGTTTTTTTCTTTTTACTGTATTATAGAAGAAGTGATAAATTTGGAGCTGGAGAGATCACTCAGTGATTTAAGAGTACTGGCTGCTTTTCCAGAGGACCCAGGTTCTGTACCCAGTATCCACATGGTGCTTTACAACCATCCATAACTCCAATTCCAATGCTGTCTTCTGAACTCTGTGAGTACCAGGCACATGCACGGTGTACTTACATACATGCAGGCAAAACACTCATGCACAAAAGACAGCTTTTAAAAATTAAATGGTAAACTTGAATGGAAGAGATCAGTTGCCTTAAATAAATCTTTGCCCAATTAAGGATTTTTCTTGTTTTGCTTTCCTAAGTGGCAACTTTACGAACGTTTTATACGCAGAGAAAACTGATAGCTTTGGTTTGGGATGAATGTGTTAGCCATGTTCTAAGTTACAGGACACAGGTACTCCCATGAACTAGTAGAAGGGCGGGTGAAGATTGCTAAGTCTGCCTGGAGCAGATCTGAATGCACCACCAGAAACAACATGCTCGGGTGGAAGGAGGAGCTCTTACGTTCTTCTCAAAGTTTTCAAGGGTAAATTCATTGGGCTTGGGGAAATACTCGAGTCTGTGCATTCTTCCGATATTCAGAATGATGTTCGTTCCCTTCTTGACTGGGTAGCCATCAATCACATCATCCGCCAGGGCTCTGCGCATGACCAAGTCCACGACGGGCTGGTACCTCAGGCTTTCATTAATGAAGTTTTCCACCACTTTTAAATTTTGGATATCATCAATCCTTACGTCTCTGTCACCTGCGGAATAGATAAACAGCGACGTTAGCATTACCATGATAAGCACTAAAGTTCCTTTTTCCCCCCATAGAGCAGTTTGTTCTCGGTTAGAAAAAATGCTTGTAATTCTAATGCATACCACCTACTGGAAACAAATGTGCTCTATTTGGTCTGCACGGGGCTTTATAAAAGTTCAGATGTTTCATAACAACAACAAAAAAGATTTCCTGAAAATTTGCTCATGCTGGACCCACATTCCCACCTAAAGATGGGGCAGAGGCAGCCACCCCGTCAGAGGGGACATGCACTCTGCAGTTCCACGTTGGCCACACCCACTCCGCATCTCATAGTCCTCTTATCTGTGGGTCTCAAGTCTTTGGGTTTTCCATCTGCTCCACATTCTAGGGAACATTTACCTTGTCCCTTAACGTGTGAGCCGACTAGTATAATAACCATCCCAAACAAGGGGCTATAGGGTCCTGTAGAATCGGGGAGCTCGTGGACCGAGTTCATTTTACAACGTTCACGCCTTAGTCATTTGGGCAGCTACCTTCCCACACGTGTCCCTGACAGGCCCACCACGTCCGACCACAAACAAATTGTTCCTGGAAAACGGCTACTACTCCCCATCATCAGTGTCCCACCTAACTCTGGGTGTGATTGAGGGGTAACAGACGCTCCCATTGTCTCAGCCTGGCCTGGCATTGATCAAAGAAGCTTAGATTTGTCCCCGATGTGGCAGGATCTACAAGCACCCTCATATAAACCACCACTTTTGCAGAATCAAAGCATCCCGGAGTTACCGGTGTACTAAGGTGTCCCTGTCTCCTATAAATCCAAGGCATGTGGGAAGATCTAGGTCAGTGAGAAAAGTCTAGGAAGAGAGCCTGCATCTTAAGTACTGTGCTCTGTAACTAAGGACCCTACTGGGGTGGAGAGGCAGAGAGAAGAAGACAGAGGTTTTCCTATCTGCTAGGATTTATTCCTAGGAAGCAACGGGTGTGTGGACCACAAGAGGGAGCGTCCGTGTTGTAACAAGCTCAGCTGCTTTCCCATCTTTGAGTCTGATGGAGACTCAGGGAGACACTACGAGGCACAAACAGGTCTCACGCTCAAGGAACTTGTGTTAGAGGTCTGACCAAAGCACACACTCAAAACAGTTTCCCCTGCAACACCCTCCCACGGTGCCCTCTCTCTTCATTCCAGTACAACTGAATTCCCTTTCTCCCAGCACTCTACCAGCCAACCCAGAGAATGGAGTGCCCTTGCCCTCTGCACAGACCCCGAAAACCTGGCGGGAAACACTGAGAAAACATTCAGGAACTTGGGGCAGTGTTACCCTGTCTCCTTGTTCTCCTCCCCCTCACCGAGCACCTACAGAACCTTTTCTTACAGTGAAACGAATGCAGCTTTTCCTTAGTGGCAACTGCTTCAAGCAGCCACAAAATCACTTGTTAAAGGAGGTGCCTTTGCACAGCCAATAACGTCTGTCACCAGCACTGTGTGTGTGCAAAGTCCAGAAAGTCCATCTCGTGCTATGTCTTCTCCCATTGCCTAGTAGCATGTCCCTAAACAGATCCCCCAGGTGGGGGCAGCCCCTAATAAGCTATTTGTTTTCTCCCGGGAAAGAGTTCTGGTTTTGTGCTTCTAAAGCCGAGTGGGGACAGGATGATGCTGACCTAGAGCCATGAAAATAGGCATGGAAGAACCCAATGCAGCCCTGGGGACTCCTGCAGAGGAGGCAGAAAGAATGGGAGAAAGGGGCCAACATCACTGGGTTGCAGCAGAGAAAAAAGCCCATCACTTTGACTCTGCTACCCTCCCCTCTTCCTCTTGCGGCCAAGTAAAATCCACAAACACTTCTGTAAACAACCGATAGCCATTTTCCTAGGTGAGCTCACTAAAGAGGACTTATGCAACCCAGGAGGCAGGCAGAGCATATACTCAAATTCTCCATCTACAGATTTAACTAACAGCATCAAATAGATTTTATTGTATTTGTACTGGACATCCCCAGCCTTTATTTTGCTAAAGTTAACTCTCCAGATAATGCAATATAGTAACTATTTATAAAGTATTGCATTGCAGTAGGCATTACAAATGGTGGAGAAGGGACTTAGTCTGTGGACGGTTGTAACTAGGTTACATGCAAGTACTATACTATAGTATGACTTTCTAAGATGGGCAAACTTGACCATATATGTGTCTGTGCACACATGGAATAAGGTCTCAAGCTGGGGAGATGACTCAACAGGTAAATGTGTGTCACCAAGACCGAAAACAGGAACTCGTGCACCAGAACTCATTTGGGAGGGGAGAACGAACTCCCCACAAACTATCCTCTAACTTTATATTCATAGTGTGATATGTGCACACACACAACCCCCCCCACACACAATAAAAATCCCATTGAAGAACATACAGAAAACACGTAGTGGTGAGGATGAGAATGAGGCCCTAAGACAGTGAAATGAATTAGGGTATTTACTTTCTGCTTTACGCATTGCTCTGGTGTTTGAATTTTTCAATAAGCACATGTTATTTTTACGTTTTATACAGCATATAAATAGGAGGGACTATCATTTTAACCTACTCAACATAACCAAGATGTGGAAGGATTACTTACTTTATTTTTCCTTAAGGTTTTACGTTTGATATCAGAATCTTTATTATTATTATTTTTATTGAGTTATATATTTTTCTCTGATCCCTTCCCTGTCTCTCCCCTCCCCTCCAACCCTCTCCCATGATCCCCATGCTCCTAATTTACTCAGGAGATCTTGTCTTTTTCTACTTCCCATGTAGATTAGATCCATGTATGTCTCTCTTAGGGTCCTCATTGTTGTCTAAGTTCTCTGGGATTGTGAATTGTAGGCTGGTTTTTCTTTGTTTTATGTCTAAAAGCCACTAATGAGTGAGTATATATGATAGTTGTCTTTCTGTGTCTGGGTTACCTCACCCAATATGATGTTTTCTAGATCCATCCCTTTGCCCGCAAATTTCAAGATGTCATTTTTTCCTGCTGTGTAGTACTCCATTGTGAAAATGTACCACATTTTTCTTATCTATTCTTTGGTTAGGGGGCATTTAAGTTGCTTTCACGTTCTGGCTATAACAAACAATGCTTCTACGAACATAGTTGAACGCATTGGCACTGACGACCACTTCCTAAATATAACCCCAGTAGCACAGACACTGAGAGAAACAACTAATAAATGGGACCTCCTGAAGCTGAGAAGCTTCTGTAAGGGACACAGTCAACAAGACAAAACGGCAGCCTATAGAATGGGAGAAGATCTTCACCAACCCCACATCAGACCGAGGTCTGATCTCCAAAATATTCAAAGAACTCAAGAAATTGGTCATCAAAAGAACAAATAACCCGTTTAAAAAATGGAGTCCAGACCTAAAGAGAGAACTCTCAACAGAGAAATCTAAAATTGCTGAAAGACACTTAAGGAAATGCTCAACCTCCTTAGCCATCAGAGAAATTCAAATCAAAACAATTCTGAAATTCCATCTTACACCGGTAAGAATGGCCAAGCTCAAAACAGAGATGACAACTTATGCTGGAGAGGATTGGGGTAAAGGGAACACTTCTGCATTGCTGGTGGGAGTGCAAACTGGTACAGCTCCTTTGGATGTCAGTATGGCAGTTTCTCAGAAAATTAGGAAACAACCTACCTCAAGACCCAGCAATACCACTTTGGGACGTATACCCAAAGGATGCTCCATCATACCACAAGGACACGTGCTCTCGGATTCTTACGCCGTGAGAAGCTGCCCACACTCAGAAGGGCATTTTTAAAGCCCTGTCATTTATTTGATCACTACTTACCAATAACAGTGTGGATTTCCTTCAGTATTGCAATTTCAACATCAGGGTACTCTGCAATGAGAAGTAGCATGAAGTACAGAGTGACGGACATGGTGTCAGGTGCCGCGATCAGCATCTCCAGTATGCACTGGTTCACATTCTCCTTCGTCAGGTCTCCACGCCTCTGGGGAGTTGAAAAGAGAAGACAATGCTGAAGACGGAGTCGAAGTTCCAAAAAACGAGGGAGGCGACACTCAAGCTTCAGCAATCTCAATAAAATGAAATTACAGATCTCTACCAACATTTTACATAAACATTCTCCTTAAGGACAAACAAATAGCCAATTACCCATGTACCTCTGCCCCTCCATATACTCTAGTTAAATAATACAATGTCATAACTTTTAGCTCAATGTTACAACGCATTAGGTATTATAAACAAACCCTTGTGGGAGGACATTAAGTGTATGCAAGTACTGTGGCATTGTGGGGGTAAGATACAAACAGCCCTATATTTTGGTATCTGGGAAGAGTTCTGGAATAAAAATTCCAGATATTGAGGGATGCCTTTATTTAGTGTCTTAGGTCTCCTCGCTTCCTGGGGGTTTCATATATTATATTACAATATAGAAGAGTTTGAATGGTAAATGTCATGAAATGGCTAGTGTTTAGGCTATTTTGGTGAACTACCATTAAGACTGCCTGCTAGAGAAATTTACAAAAAAAAAAAATGCCACAGTTCTAAGGAGGATTCTTTAAATAATGGTATACCATCATAAAATATATCGGGTGGGGAATTGTGATTCATTCAGGTCAATACCTCAGCAAAAATCAAGTCAGTTGCAAAATCTATACAGTCTTCCAGCTTCTGTGCTGTGGAAACCTTCTGTCTTTTCTCTTCCACCAAAACAGCTATCTCGTCTTTCAAGTCCTTGCTGGGGGGAAAAAAATGTCAAAATGTTCTCAGTTTAGACATCCCGCAAAACAGACTCTGATTCGTTTAAAGCCACTGGCACTTGTGAGTAAATGAGTTTATATCTTATTTTTTAACAAATATATGTGAATTACACGAAACATTCATCTTATGGTACCAGAGTTAACTGACATTTCTAAACATTGATAGCAATCTTGAAGCTGTGACTTTAACTCTATGTTTCCATTTTCTTAGAGATGCAGAAAGTCCTGACAAATAACAATATTACAGTAACCCTGGCTTTTCTGTCAACTCAAAATTCCAGAGAGCCCTCAGGCCACACATTGGGCCCCTTGCTGAGCAGCTCCTTGGCTTTCTCGAGCATTTGGTCTATCCCAATGCAGCTGGAGTGTTTTGAATGCCTCACAAGGAACTTCACCAATACATCCCTCAGCACTCTGCGGAGCATCCAGCGTACCAGAGTGGCCAGCAGCGGCAAAGACGCAATCAAGCACGCAGTGCGACTGCGCTTGTAAGCACTCCCAGCTTGCGCGACTTACATGGATCTTTCATACTTTCTGTAGAGCCAAGAAATCTTAAAGAAGATGTTGGGTTTGATGAGGAGAGCCTGCCATGCATTAAAATAACCTTGGATTTTTTTCACAATGGCACTTTCTGTGAAACAAAAACAAGAACAAATTCACCGAGGAAAATAAAGGCTGATGAGCAGTACTTCAGGCCGATTCTTTGACCAGTCTTTTATCTCCAGGGGATAATCTAGCTACATGAAACCATGAGACAAATTTATTACTAATTTATCTACTTGCCATCTGAATTGTCTGAGTTAACCATAGAGTTGCCAGTTTGAGACCACAGCCTCGACTCTCATATCCGCTTATGGTTGGGCTTTCCCACTCCCTCCCTCTGACTTTCCTGAACTGCGGGGCAATTACAGTTACTGCATCCCTGCTCCTGGCACCTGGAAGGGTGTTGTCTGGACAAGTGAGGAATACTTAGAAATGCCTTCTCAACCAAGAGCAGTGTGCAAGGCTGCACTTTGCTGCAATGCGCTGTCCCTGCGTGCCCTGTTTAGAAGCGGGCAGAATGCATGACAATCCAAACTCCAGTACCATCCAGGGGAATCCCCAGGAAGAGCATGTTCGAGGTGTCCAGCATGATGTGTCGCATGAGGGTCAGCACATCTACGTGGCCGGAGTTGTTGGTAACGTCGTCCAGCCTGTCCAAATGCTGCTTGATGGACTCTGCACACACTTCCACCATCCGAACGAGGCCGGGGCCTGTCAGAGCTGAAGCACAGAGGTTTGGCTGTCATAAACACCGGGATGCACACCAGCAGGCTGTTCTTGCCTTTTTATGTCAGGAGCAATTGTCTGCAACTTTACACTCAGTTACAGGGTGGGGATTTCTGCAATCGTCTCTATACCTTCTTGTGTTACCCTGGTTTTCTATAAGAAGCGCTTACCTTTTTGACTAAAAATGACTGAATATTACTTTTAAATAATGATTCAAATTCAAGCCGTTCTTTAAACCCTAGTTAATCACTTGTGTGATATGGATGAAATAGCCATTTTTCTGGGTATAATAACCAACAGTGCTTTTTACACTTACTGTATACATCTCCCTTGAGGTGATGGTTTGGATTAGGTCAGGGTCACATTTCTTTCTCTTACATTTTAGCTTGTGGAAGGATAACAGTGCAGAACCAGGGAACCTGGTCCTTAACTGTTTCACCTAAGGTACCTTCTAGTGAGCACAGATGCGCAATGCCCGTCTCAGAAACAATGAACGCATTCCCTTCTCTTACTCCTAGCCTCTCTTCGGTTTACTTCCAGGTTCATTTTACACAGCAATGGCAGGCAGAGCAATTCCTCATTTGCTTTGCAGGCTTCAGTGATCTCCAACTCCTAAAAGAGGGTGACAACTATTCACGAGCACTGTGCTTCAATCAGTCCTGTGTGAGGGCCCTCAACACGGATTTGCCAAGTAAATGAGTGTATGGATGGACAAATGGGTGGGTGGATGAATGAATGAATGAATGAATGAATGAAAACAGATGGAGTGACTTGGCTCTACCCTCCCCTTGCTCTGCTCCTGACCATCCTACCACGCTGACTCCAGTAGAGCCCATTGTGGTAGAGTTTCTTTAAGTTTCCTTCAGGAATATTCTTTATTTTTTATGTCTTTTGCTATTCAGACTTGCTGAAAAATGTTTTCATGTGGCATGGAAATTTTGGGTGGACCTTGAAGGCAATCATTCTCTCAGATCAGAACATTCTGTCATAAAGGAGATATATACATCAGAAGAAAGGAAGCTGCCAGCATGGTGGCTCACACCAATAATCCCAGCTCTCCAGGGCCTGTGGTAGAAGAATTCTTAGAAGTTCAAGACCTGCTTAGGCCCCATAGTGAGTTTCATGCCAGAAGAGGCCAGAAGAGGCCACATTCAAGAAAGAATGTGGGAGACAGTGTGTGTTGGGAGTGAGGGATGGGGAGAAGAAAGAGAAGATAGGGAAAAGGGAACAATGGAGAACTGAGGAGACCAGCCTAGGGACACTAAAGATTCCCAAAGTTGTCCAAGAAGACAGAAAAGGAGCCTCCCTCCGAGTGGTAGGAAAGCCCTCCCTGGGTGTTCTCTGTTCCCTGGGTAATGCACACATTCAAGACAGGGCAAATCATCCCTTAATGACTCAGCCCTTTGTATGGAAGGGGCGGATCCACATGTCACTCATGGCTTCCTTCCATGTGCATGCTGGATTTGCCTCTATGACCAAGAACTTGAAGCCATGTTTCACAGACCAACAGATTGGTTATGGCCATTGGTGTATGTAGATATGATTTAATATTTAAATTACTTATTATCTTTTAAAAGAAAAGGTACTCTTACCTTGGTCAAAAAAAAAATTACACAAGTAACCAAATTTCACAACAAATAGCTCCTTCTGGCAGTTCCAGCACACAACCTACCGACCTCTCTCCCTTCTCCTAGGACAAACTTTTCCACAGCTGTGCTCACCTGCTTCTCTTCACCACCAATAGCTTAACACTTCATAACGTTACTGCAAAATGTGTCCCGATTTTTATTCTTTCTCAGGAAAACCAAAGGACTCCAACTCCCAAAGGAGAGTCATCAAGACACTTAGGACTCTCATTAATTATAAAAATGTCAGGCACTTCAGTGTGCTTTTCAGTAAGCAATTAGCTTCCTATTTTTGGAATTTAATTGGGGTCTAATTTTATAACATTTTATTAGAAAGTCTGATCTTACATATACAGGGCTAATCTAAAATATTTACAAAGACGTGCGGACAAATCCCCAAGTCCTGTTAGAATGTTCCTCTCTTAACAGTCCTTGTCCCATGACCTCTCTCCTCCATCTGTCCCTGGCCACTGCAATAGCCCCCTTTTCATTGTTCTGAGCTGTGCTTTGTTCTCGTTAAACTTTTGTACGCTACTGAAGGAATTTTTCTAAAACACACTCAGCTGTTCACATCATTTTCCCAAAATATTTAGTGAATCACTGTAACTCTTGAGATTTGCTCAAGTCCTCGACTTCATAAGAAGGGTCTGAAACGATCTAGACCTGCTTTTCCTGGGCCTTCTGTTCATCCACGGAGGGTTCCTGGACATGACATGATGATCTATCTTTCTCTGCTGTCAAATACACCATTCTTTGTTCCTACGGTGTCTTCCTTTGGTACACTTTGTTAGTTAGAGTTTACTTCATTCATTCAATGTTCATCATAAACACCCACTGCCCTGGACTGTCTTTTCTGGCCCCTTTGTGGCTTTAGGTGACCTCTGTGTCTAGTCTCTGCAGTCTGGTGCAACCTCACCTAGAAAGTATACTTGGTGATATACAGGCCCACCTTACCCAGCCTTCTGCGGTCCTCAAGGGCAGAATCAGGTCTTGTTTATCATTGTTTTATTGGTATCTAAGATCTGAGTCAAACAACAAAGTAATATACAATGTATGTTGCTACAGAGTCAGACATGTTTTGTTTGTTCTTTACAACAGCTCAAGGCCCTAGCACTCATTAACTTCCACGGATAAAGAAATAAATCCCACAGACAGTAGACAATTTGGCGGAAGTCCTTGTATGAATAGCCAATGGCAGTGTTGGAACATGAGCCCACTATAACCTTGAGACATGCACTTTTCCACTAATCCAGTGTCACTCTTGTAAGGCACAGGGAGAGTGACCTGCTCCAACATGGTTACACACACTCAAAACCTCTCCAAAGCTGTCTACGGTCCTCATCCCAAAAACGATTCGTGTGTGTCCTCAAGAAGAGTAGATTGTGGTATGTCGCTGTGATAAACCCAAATGAACTCCAAGATTCATTAGTGATGAAACTTTCCCATCTGAGGTCATAAGAGAAGGTGGGGCAGAGAAGAGCAGCGCAAGGAGGGCTGGACCTGTCCCACCAGACAAGGAATGAAGGTGCGGCTCCAGAAGCTGGAAGAAGTAAGATCAAGGCTGCCTCCCATCCACGGGCTTGCCATCCCTGCTGAGACCCACGGCAGACTTCTGACCTGCAGAATTTTACCACAAGCATGTCGTTCACCCACGCTGTCTAGAATGTTACAGTAGGCAGAGGAAGCGAGCATGCTGTGTCTATAGCAGTGTGCTTGGGTCTTAGAGACCTCCAGAGCCTGCGTGGAAAGAAGAATTTTGATGGTACATGGTCATACTGAAAATTCATGTAGCTCCGGGTGCCATCTCTGACAAGCTTGCCGAGGCAAGACCACTCTTCCTGATGCTTGACTTAGTGTTAAAAACTGGCCTTGTGTGGTCCTCAACCACTTTGTTTTCAGAAGGATATAGTAAGGGGTAAGGGCCAGGCTTGGGATTGAGTCTCTGTTCACCTCTGCCTTGCTCTGCTGGTGTGAATCTCAAACTTCATTTCTTCAACCGTAAGACTTAGAGGCTGCGTGAGTCAACACACAGAGTCTTTCCATCTCTTAAAGCCTCTGGCCTGACAGACAGCGGGTCTGCCAATGCATTATTTAGTCATGTTTAGATGAGACGTTGAGCTAAAACACTAAATTCTTAGTTGAAATGACCCTTCAGTTTGTTGTGGCCACAATCATAGACTCTGAGGTTGTATTCTTGGGGCTAGCATTTACTAATGTTGGAATCTTGGACAAGTAACTTAACCTGTTTGAAACTTAAAAGTTTTCTCGCCTATAAAATGCAGGTAAACTATGACATTTCACTGTATAACGTTGCTGTAGAATTACAGTGTCAAGTGTCTAGGACGGTGTTTGATGCATAAGTATTATTTCAAAATTATGTGGCAGCAAAGTTTAAAGGATTATTTTTTTCCTGTTTACCTTTCATAAAGAAAGGGCGAACTGTCTTCCACAGGTCTGGGTTGTTGTTGAAGATGATGCCGTTCTCGTGCATCCCAATGCACTGCAGCCCACGCTTGCTGCCAAACCTGGAGATGTAGTTACTGTGCTTCATAACGTGGAACATGACTGAGGACCTGAAAAGGAAGGGAGCCTTGGTGTTAATCCGACACGAGAAGGGCGTTTCTGGCAGTTCACTCTGACTGTGGAGGGGGCTCTCTCAACAGAAGCATGTTGATCCAAGTGCAAAGTTTGATTTCTAGTACCCAGGTTGAACAAGCATGCCGGGCAGCATAAGAGCATCCTTGGTCAACTGAATCATTCTACTTTCTGATCCCCGAAGGATCACTGTGGGGAGATGGGGAAGCCCTGAGTGAGTGTGTGCTGTTGACAAGGGCACAGCCTTCCTTTCTGGTCCAAGTGCGGGTATTGACAGTCAGTGCGTGCAGAAACCCTCTGCCATCACGTTCTCAGCCTGAAGCCTGCTTCCCTATGGGAGCTGTTCCTACTGAGGGCAGCTAAACCTGCCTCCTTGCTCAGCTGTGCACCATAAGCCCCACCGCAACAGGCCTTGCTCAGCTGTGTGTCGTGACCCTGCTCTCCTGCTCGGCTCTATGTCATAAACAGGCTGAGTTTGCGGATGAGGGGGATGCCTGTGGAAATGAGGGGGAAGACTCTAAAATAATAATAATGCTAAGAAATAACTTATTTAGTTGACATTTATTTCAGAAAAAAAACCTTAAAATAAAAACTATCAAATCAAAGTCTCTCAATTTAGTTCCCAATAATAAACCACAAAATGGCTCAAGTTTCTGACAAGCTTTTCTTTCTAAAAATCCAAAAACAAAAATCCAGATGTTTCAAATTGAGTGTCAACAAATTAATCTGGCATTTCAAATTTTACTTAGTAAGAATTATCACTCTATAAAATGGACTGAAATTACTGATAATTGATGTAAGACCTCTAGCTTTTCTTACCGTTTCCTAACTTGCTCCACAAGTAAAGTAGAGAATTTTTGTTACATTCTTTGTTCACATCCTCGTATCTAAAGACTTTACTCGAGGGATAGACAAAGCACTGTCCTTTCCACCCTGGTTCCCAGGCATTCATACATTACATTTGTCTTGTGGATCCGACTATTAGCAGATGTTTAGACCCCGTGTGTCCCCTAGGAGGTGCTATCGTCCCAACTATTTTCAGTCTGAAGTTCTGCCAAGAGAAACCATCAAGGAAGTATAAAGCAAGGACATTTACCAAAGTGAGGCAGAGTTTATAAAACAGAGTAAACTTGACTGTGAAGGAGAGAACCGTTGAGGGACTAGAGGCCCCAGGCCACACTCCTCCTGGCCGTCATAGAGACCTGACCCTGAAGTGACCTTAACCAGCAATCCAGGCTGAGGGAAATGTTCTATTGGGGAGAGTGAGGATTTGCCAAGTTCAGAAGAGACAGTGGACAAGGTAATGCCACTGAGGTCAGAGGTCATACTTTTAACCATGATTGAAGTTAAGGCATCAATCACCACAGCGGGCAACCCCTCCTGCCTCCAGTGTGGTATTTCTATTCAATCTCCCTTGTCCATTCTCTCTCTCTCTCTCTCTCTCTCTCTCTCTCTCTCTCTCTCTCTCTCTCTCTCTCTCTCCC